TGTTGAAACTGAATGAAAGTTAATTTATCACTTTACAAAACTTTTGCCTAATTATTTTTAGTCTATTTTTATGCTTCAAACTCCATCCAAGTTGTGTTACTTTATTTACAGGTAAATAAGAGGCTTACATCATGTAATATAATTTTTAACCTAAGTGAATGACAGATAGTATTTACAAAAACATTCTATTCTATTTTTTTCTATAATTCTTTTACTCAGTAGTATATAGTTACCAGTCTTGTGTTTTTTTATTTATTATCAAATGTTTAAGTCTTTTAAGCTGGTTATTATTAGCCATCTAGATTGATACTTAGAATCTATAGAACCCATTTCTTTATATCATTTTAATGTATCAAAAACTGTTATTTTTCTACACTCAACAGTTTCAGCAATTTTTTGGTATGAAATTCATGTTGATGATAATATAATATTACCTTATATTGTTCTGTAGTTAATTCATTTTTATTTTCCTTTTTTTTTGTGAAGTGACAATGTAAATAAATCAGGTAATTTATGACATCATATGCAAACATAATATTTATATATAAATAAACTTAATGCTAATCACTTTTTTTTATAGTTATTGATTACCTAATAAGTCATTTAGAAACTTTTGAGTACCTTCTGTAATATGATGATTTGTTTAAGATTTTATTTTTAATAAATATATAATTAAAAGAATTACAAATATGATTAAACTTTATATTATACCTTTTAAAAGTATTATCAATTATTAAATCAGAACTTAAGCTTAGGCTTAAAAGTTTTTCTTATTCATAATTATATTTACAGTATCTAATTCTAATAAATTTAGGTATTAATAGATTATTTATATCTTTTGTAAACATTTTAAGTAAGTATAAAGATCTTTAATTTACTGACTTTTTGTTTTTTATTTACTTTACTTAATATTTTAAAAAGTTTTTATATAATTTAATTCTATTATTATTTCAAATTAAATTTAATTAAAATAAATATTAAATAAATTTTATAATATAATCAATACTGATCGATAGATTGGTTGATTAGTTACTAATATATATTAGTATATATTACTTATTCAGTTATATATAAAATTCTTATAAAAATCATTTAGTTTTATACTTTAGCTAAAACTTAAACTTGTGGCTTTTATAGTATAATTTATAAAAAAAATTTATGCTTTAATGATATGAGCTAGAATGCTAATCCTTTAAATTAAAATATACTAATTTTTGACTGAATTGAAGTTAAATTACTTATTTATTTGAAGTTAATTAGTATTAATCAGTGGTATTTTAGGTTGAATTTAAATAATTAAAGTTCTAAATTAAGACTAATTTTAGTCTGATTTAATTGAATTTAAGTTCTAAATTAATACCAATTAACTATATATAATTAGCATTGATCAGTATTAATCAGTATATATTTATACTAATCAGAAAATATGGTAAATTAACTATAAATAAATATCAAAATCAGCTTAAAATTGATCATCTGATAGCTAATTTGGATCATTTTGATTAGTATAACATTAGAAGAAAGTTGATACTTTAATATTATATTAGTCTTTTTAAATACTTTTTATATTAATAAGTTTAATTATTTTTTTTCTACTTTTAGTTTTATTATACTAATTTCATAATCAATTTAAATATTATATTAAAATAATGCCTATCTTTTGGATCTTCAAATTTTAATAATTAAACTATCATTAAATCAGATAATCATTGATTAGATTATTTTATAAACATTAGAATAAGAAAATTTTTTATTAGAGATATATAAGTCCAATAAGTTTTTCCATACAAAATGATTATTAGGATCAAATATTTTAAGTTAATCTAATTTTTTTGAAATTAGAAGTTTTTTTTCTTTATCTAAAACTGTTTCACTAAAAGTAAATTTAATTGAAGAATTTCTCATTTCTGATTATTTTTTTTGATTTGCATGGTTGCAAAAAAAGCTGTATGATTTTTTATTTTAATTAATAAATGTATTATCATTAATATATTCTTAATCACATAATAGATAATATGATAGAAAAATGTATAATAATAAAAATTTATAGGAAAATTGTCTAATATGTATATTCTCATATAATAATAAAAAACATTACTTGTAAAATATTTATATATTTGTATTTATATTTCTTATAATTAATATTTAATAAATTAAAATATTATTATTTTTAATTTATCTTTAAGATTTAGATGATTAAATATTTTTACATTTTAAAATTTTAAAATTATTTATTTAATTTTAAAAACAGATTTATTAATTTACAACTCTTAAATGATTTTTGAGTATTTTATAAAATATAAATTTAAAGTATTTTGAATTACTTTATTATTATTATCTTTTTATCAAATTTAACGCATTCAATCTTTTATTTATATTCTATTAAATTAATAATTTATTTAATCTTTATTAATACTCTTGTAATATCATAATTGATTTCATCAAATTATTTAAAATAATTAATTAATGTAAAATTTAAATATATTTAAATCTTTTAAATGAATAATAAATTAATTTTGATTAGCTTATAAAGTAAAGAAAAAATTTTCAATTTCTTATATAGTGTATTTCCTAATCTCAACTTTCATAACCAATGAACTAATAGAAAAAGTACTTACATTATTGTTAATTTTTCTAGTTCTCTTTAAAAGGATTAGTATCTCATAAAAGTTTTAATGGAGTACTTGATATTATTCTTGAACTTATTTACACCACAAGATCATAGATATGTCCAAATCAGCAAGGACGGCTTATAAAAACGCTTCCTATAAATGTCTAATAATCTAATACAAATATGCCTACAATGGAGTATTTATTGAAGCAAAACCTTTAAAAATTTGCATTTCATAGAAATTCTGAAAATTGCTTCTCATATCAATTCGGATATCGATTCTTTGTTTCCAAGTAAGTTGATTATGTTGTAAATACTGTATATTCTTAAATTATATCAAATCAAGCAATCACGAGAAAATAATAATCTTTAATTAATGGATTTAAGTAATGCCTTACTTCGAGTGCTCCAATTATTGCATTTACAGCTTAATTTTAATTGGGTTAAGCCTATAATTTGGTTAGTTTTTTGTTAAAATTACATACCTCTTCACGTCAACATTTTTTTTTAATATTTAAGTCTTTTAAGTATAAATCCTAACTTTGTTTAATTGTTGTTTGTTATGATTCCATTAATTATTAACCCAATCTATTGTATAATTCAAAACATCTGCATTAGATAAATATTTATATGTAATAATGGACGTTGCTTTCGAAATTAAATGATCAATTTCATCATTTCCACATGTTGAATTTGATTAGTTAACGTTAAATAATTTCATAGTCCATGCAATAACGCTTTCTGTTGGCAATTTTCACAATCTCTTTTAATCCTAAAGTGGTTATATTCCATTAATAATCGTTTACTAGATTCATAACGTTGACCTACTGTATGTCTGTGTAAATATATGGGAGGTTTGCTATTATAGTCGAGTTACATAGTAAATCATATGATCCGTAACTCGATTTTAATAGCAAACCTCCCATATTATAATTTAACTCACCTTCTCTATTAAATGCAATATGAATAAATTTTACGTATGGGAAGTCCTAACGTGAAGAATAATGAAATAAATATTAATATTCAAAAAAAAACCAGAAAAAAAAATTTTTTTGAAGTTATTAAACGCAAAAAACAATTATGAATTTAGATAAACTGTTAGAATTGATCGACAATGTACAGTCATCAGAAAAATACTTTGCCGTTAGCTTATTAAAAAATATTCACAAATGATGGCAATAAGAGAGTAAGCAAAAAAAAAAAACCTTAATTCAAGTTCAATTCTCACTTGATAAGTAAAACAAAAACTTTTGTCATTAAAAACTGACATTGCCATTGTCTATATTCAGTTCTAATCCAGTAGGAATGGTTAATTCCTTCAGTAAAATCTTACATCATCTCAAGGGTTCTCATTATAAGTTTAGGAAGTTATGTATGTCTCTCGTCTTGTAAATTTTTACTAAAAAAATAAATAATCTTTTTTTTTTTTTTTTGTTTACGACGCGACGATTTTTTTTTTTTTTTTGCTTGAATTTGATTAGCTAATTGATTCACAAATCTCTCTTGTCCCTTTATTTGTTACTCTAAACCTTTTTAAATTACATTGAAAGAAAATTAAATTAGTTTTAAATTAATTTGCATCAATTAATGATGATCATTTCCATAAATGATAAATCATTTATAAAATAAAGACAATAATATAATAAGGAGTGATTTGATTAGATTACCATTTTTAACTGTTGTGAAAGTAATTTTTCTAAAAATTAAAATTATTTAAGGTTGAATAGGATTAGTCGAATTTGATAATCAAATGTCTCACACCCCCAAAATTTGGGTGGAGAAAAAGCGGAGCAATTAATTAAATGAAAGTTTCTTTTTTTGAAATGACGTAATTATTTAATCCTAATTTAAAAGGTTCAACAAAAGTAACAATGTGAGAGAAAAATATTATGTCCATCAAATCGCATTATGTCTGTCCAGTCAGTCTGTCCAATGATCAACACATGTAACCTGGATATGATAGCGTCATTCGCGTTGAACATTCCGTTCATACGATTATGAAATCAATTAAAAAATTAGATTTATTACGTCCTTCCTAACCAGATCGGTTGAGCAAATAGCACGTTCACAAATAATTGTATTCTAGTATATAATAATTTATTTGATAATAATAAAAAAATATCACTAATTATATAATAATGATAATAAAAAACATGAAAAAAAAATAAATATAACCAATTCCCTATTGCTTAATTTTCTAACCTTTTAAAAAAATTCAAGAGATTTTCTTTAAAAATAATAGATGAACTCCCGTCGTTCTTTTCACGGAATGATTTAAATTTACCGGACCATTTTATTATTTCATCCGTTTGTCTCTTCCTTTTCTTAGAATTATTAAGTTTGTGATTCTTGGACATACCAAAAACGGAAGGTAGAAATTTCTCAAAAAATGGCCGAATCAGTTCTGGACTTGTTGTGCTTTGTAATAAATCCATATGTTCTGGCTCAAAAGTAACATTCTCTGTAACATACAGTTTAAAAGTGGTCACGATAGAGTTATACGTGACAGATGACATTTTATTATCTTCTAAAATACGTGGTTCATCAATATAAATTCTTAAAGTAAGAAGATCTTCAAAGCACATCCTGCATATCTCTGAATTTACTCCAAAAGTTTCAAGGAAGTATTGATAAACTTTGGGTGAAAGGATAGGCGACTTCCTTCTTAAATTCATATCGTTCATCTTTTGATCTTTAAAGTATTGTGCAACGACCTCTTTAATAACTCGTTCATGATAATCAAATCTTGATTTAAGGAAATTTAACAAATAATCTTTTTTCAGATTTCTTTCTGGCTTTAATGCTTCCCGGAAAAAATTGCAAGCAAGTGAATATATTGGTTCACTGGATCGAATTGTACAGAAAACGTTCCAGAGGATGTCCCCGATCTCATCCAAGCGATGTTCAAACATATGAAGAGCATCAATAATAACACTATCCTTTAAAATGAATCCCAAATCAATGAGATCTTTAAGACGTGAAATTACATTGGAAACGGTAGGGCAAACCCAATCAGAACTTGGTGTTGGTGGAAAGAGGATAAGCAATGCTCCTTGCAATACTAAATCATTGACATCATTACAGATTTCTTCATAACCAATTTGTTTCCATAAATTCACCAAATCAGGGTGAATAAGTATTGCTCTCGCAATTACGTTTAATTGTCTACTATTCTCATAACCGTCCTTGGGAGGGTATTCTTCCGGAGGTGGTTGTTGATGAATGTGAGGGTCATGATTCAAATCTCGCGTAATGGATTTTGGCCTGGGCGGAAATGGAATGAATTTTTGATTCAAAATCAAATCTTCGATGTCTTTTAAATTCTTCCGCAGCATTCCAGGTGCGTAGTTGATCACGTGAGGACCTGCCGATAGGAAATGGAATAGTTCCATATCATTTCCCTTTAAAGGAACCGCATTTCCAAATTGATTGTATCCTTCGTTTAATAAATAAATGAATACTGGTAAAGATAAATTGCTAGCCCACGGCGATTTGATTCTTTGTTGGAATGCACAGATTCTATCGGCGTCAAGTTGATTAACGTTATGTTCAATTTTCAGATCTATTAACTTTTGATCGAACTTTCCAAAATGCATTAATAACCTTTGAACGAAGTATCTCGAAATGATGACCTTTCTTGTAAGTAAATTTTGACATACTGGAATGGTAAGAAAACTTGGTCCCAACTTTACGGCAACAAATAACGCATGAGTTTTTCCTGAACGGGCTAAGAGCCATTCCGTTTTAGCATACGGGTCTTTTGCTACAGCTGCCCAACTCTTACAAGAACGAGCTAAATTAAAAGGATGATCAACATGTTTAAAAATATTTATTTTAATTTCGTCTTCCAAATATTGAAAATATGAATTTAATCTATACATAATCATAAAAAAATATATAAAAATAAAAAAATTTTCAATTTAAAAGCCACCATGAAAAGAAATGTTGAGAATTTATTCAAAAACCACTATATTCTTACAAATATAGAAACAAAACAAAGAAACAAAGCTATGCATAAGTTTAATTGGTGATAAATGAATATGTATGAAAATCCCCCCTTTCATTAATAATATACAATATTCGTTTTAACAATCTTTCAAGAATTCCTTAAAAACTGTTGCAAAATAAAATTTTTTTTCAAGAAGGGTTACTTTTATAACTTATCCCCGATTATCTATTTTATTACATCACATCTAAAAAAAAAAAAAAAAAAAAAAAAAAAAAAAAGCCACAAAGAAAGAAAAAATTTCCAAATCAAATTTTTGATTTAGTTAAATCAAATCAATCATCATATTATTTTATAAAAAAAAAAAATTTTTTTTTTTCGACAAATTTCGCCTTTTAGATATTTCAAATTTGAAATTTTGAAATCCTTGTTTTTTTAAATGAGAAATACTCTTTTAAACGCAAAATGTAATGTAAAGATTTTTTTTTTTTGATTTAGCAACTTTTTGAAACTTCTGAACGTTATTTTTTTTTTCAACTTTTTTTCTTGAACTCGACTATTGAATGATTATAGTGAGGTGAATAACGAGAGAAGGTTTTTTATAGGATATTTGAATTATTCGCATGAGAACATTGAACGTAACGTTTAATCAGCTGAAATTTCAATTAAATGTCCTAGATTGTTCGTTTGGATAAGACGATAGTTACAACCTAATCGCAACTAGAGAGACGTCTTTTCATTTGATAAATGTTGTTTCAAACATTTCAAAACAGCTATACAGTATGCTCTCGATATAATCAAAGTTGACTGACGTTTTATTAACGACGGTTTCGTTAATAAATCATTTGAGTATATCACCGCACTAGAGAGTTTTTAAGTTTCACAAAAATTTAAATAAAATTGCACATTAAATAAATATTTATTGTTTATTTATTATGTGAACAATAAAACACAAGTTAAAATTAAAAAACGTCAGATCAATTACATTTAATATTGTTCATTTGGGTAAATATTTATGTTGATAAAAAAAAAGTTCATTCAAAATAAGACATATTTGGATAAGTGTTGATACAAATCACTATTGACACAACTGATATAAGAAACCATAATGAATAGTATGTCGTGAAATTAATTTGCGTAATTATTTATTTTAAGTCATGCTCCGAGAATTTTTTATTTTTATCGCATCTTAGTTTTGGATGTTATTAGATTAAACTTAATTTTAGTAAAAAAAAAATTCTCATTTTTCTAGCAAATTTCCCATTTATTAAAACATGGTCATTTTTCTTGATATAACATTTATACCTCGGAAAAAAAATAAATAAAAAAAACGTGGCTCGACTTTCTCATTTCAAATTTATTTCGGATAATTTCGCCTTGTTGAGAACAGACTTGCTTAGAATCATGATTTGTAATTCGTCGCTGAACATGTAATATAGGATGTTCAGGTGCAAATATTCGTTCCTACAACACAAGTAATTTCTATTATCTCGCTACGTGAATTCATTATATTTTCTTTTGAAGGAAGTAATCAACAAAGTGTGATGAATGAATGCATTCAATGTAATACTAACTATGAAAAACAATGATGAGCTTAAATAAGGAGAGGAAAGATATGAAAATAAAAGGTCAATAGGTGAGTGATATTTGGATCATGGAGGATAAATTAGTTATGTGAGATTTTAAATAAAGTTGCGATAAGAACAAATGATATTAATAATTTAGAATTACGCAAGGAAAGAATTAAAAGGTGATTTCAAGGAGAAAAAAGGGGGGTATGCATATGCAAAATGAAAAAGTGCGTTTTATTATTACAAATAGAGTTTAGCGATAGTCGCTTAAACCAGAATCAAGCAACTTAGTAACGCAGATCATAATATGTAACCTATATTCTTACCTATTTAGATTAAAACCTTCCAAAATTAGTTAAGTCAAGAATTTCTAATTCCGATAATAAACTTTTTATGGTTAGTTAGCTCGTGTAAACTGGAACAACATCAAATTTGGAATTCAATGAAAGATTACTTTCATGCAGATCAGAAACTAATTTACTTAAAACTGGAACTGCCCGCCGGAGACATTTATATAGAAATATCCGTCGATTCCACGATAATAAGGAAACCTAAATAAGATCTCTCCTGCTTTCTTTATATTCCTGATATATGTTCGTTATTAAATTTACTATTTTAACTTTCAGAAACACCAACTTCCAAATGAAGTTCAAAACAAGCAATAGTTTTTATTAAATCATAAACCAATCCATGTATTTATTATAGCTAGGTTAATTAAATTTAAAAATTTAAAATATTTAAAACAATGTATAAACTATTAACAAATTTATGGGTCAATTTTCAATAAATAAAGTTTAATATCCGTTATGTACATATTTGTTGTGCATCATGTGGTATCTGCAGAAACTTTAATTTTAATTTTATGATACCAAAAACTTATCTTTTTAAAAAAATTATAAATTTGCAATATAGATAGCCTTTATTAAAATAATTTAAGAATCGTTCTTGACGTACATTTAGTTTTTAATAAAAAGACCATCCTTAGGTACTTCTTTCTGATCTCTGTATGGTATATTTGTCATGTCTGTTACAAATGGCGACATTTGGGGTACATGCAGTCTGCATTGTAATTTACTTTCATCATTCAAAATCAAATGCGTGTTGATGTCATGGAGGAACACTAAACTTCTGAGATATTTACAACATTTCTTTCTATATGATCACGTGTTATTGAGAACTTGGGAATTATCTGAAAAATTTAATATAAACGATTTAAATTCTATTTGAATCTTTAGAAATAATTTACATTAATCTAATTATTTTTCTTTTTAGACGTCGCACAACCGTGTAATATTTCATCCAGAAAATAAAAATATATAAATTTCTTTGTCATTATAATTCGTCCTATCCACTCTTAAAATTTGTGAAGGCGAAATATTCTATCACCGTTGTTTTCGATTCGGTCTGCGTGATGCTACTCGCCTAGAAGATGCTTGGATGAACAATTTCACAGATTAATCTAGATCCTTCTTTTCCCACCACAAATAATTTTTCTCATTCACGCTCTTTCCACAGTTCGTATTAGCCCATCCGGATTGCAGCAGACGCTTCGGTAAAAAAACCAAAAATCCGATGTTTCATATACGGCAGTGTATTAATTCTGTGCATCAGCATGTTTGGATTGATATTTCACAACATTCACACCCTTTCTACGGCTATTTGTTTCATATTCTAGAACTCTCCAGTAAGACGCATTTTGCTGTATCATATTTTTTAATATATTCTAGGAAATCCATTCATCCACATCGAATACGTTGAAATAAACGTCAATTTTGTTGCAGTTATGTCTCGAAATTAAGCGACATAAAAAGGGCAGCGCTTTAAGTATGTGATAAACCAACCTTCGTTCAATTTAGCGTTGATCTAACGGAAACTATATTCGTCAAGAACAAATTATGAACGAATTGAAGCTACTTACAAAAAATACAAATATAGCTGTAATTCCTGGCGGACTAACATCTAAATTACAACCTCCATCAAAAAATGAGGTATATTATTTTTTTTTTTTATATATTTAAAAATATGTTAATAAATAATCTAAAAGGGTTCGTGCACTATATAACCAATTGATGACAGAGAAAATTTACCATCATATTCACAACTTGCTAAGTGGGTAAAAATTGCATGGAAATCTCTTGATCCAAATCTAATTAAACGCCCATTTAAGTGCATAGGAATATGTGGGTCAGAAAATAATTATATTTCTACAGTTTTTTTTTTATTATAGATTTTTTTTTTATATTACGTATAATGATCTATAAATAATAAATATGTATTTTACGGGGGATATTGTTACATTGAATATAATTTCGCCAAAATCTCCATAATTCTGCATGGGAATCGCTTTCAATATTTGCAGTTAGTTCTTTAAAGATCATTTGCCAGACTGTCATGGCGCCATGCTGTCAAGGTGCAAGTATGATAAAATGTTAAAAACGCCAGGTTGTCCATAAATACAAGCTGGAAATCCTTAAACAACTTAATATCCACGCTCACCCTTATTAATAATTTGCATACATTCACCTCGAAATCCTTCCTTTAACACCTTCACGATATTTTCGCTTTCGCGTTTTAACTTTTTAGATTTCGTATTTGTAACTTCGTTAATTTTTTAATTTCCGATTTTATTTTTATTTTATTATTCAACATTTTGTAAATTTTTCGTAATTGCGCAGTTTTAATTAATTAGAGTTTTATTGATTGGCATTTACTTAGTTTAATATATTGACATAGCGAAAGTGTAGAGCGCCAACACTGATTAAATTGATATTATTAAATAAATACTTGTCACAATTACTTCATTTTTATTCAATAATTATTTAATTAATACCTTCTGTTTACTGAATACGACAAATACCTTAAAGAGCGCTATACGGTACTTGACGCTCCCTAAATAAACTAGTTTACGTGTTTTTATATATAAGTTGTAAATTTCATATGATTGGTTACACATTCGTAATAATTAAGTATTTCTCAAATTTTTAGTATAAATCATTATGAAATTTTGCGAAAAGTTTAAAATTTTATAAAATACAATATTTATTATTTGTGGTATATCATTTGTATGATTCTTTACAAAAATCAAATTATTTTACTATTTTAATTCAGTAATATTTTTTATTTCTTAAATAGATAAATATTAACAAATTATAAAAAAAAAAAATTTTATTAAAAAAATATTATTTGTTTCACTATATCATTTAATAGATATTTATATAAAACTTTATAATTATAGAACTAAATATAATGTTTAGAGTATAAATTGAAGGGTCAACCATTTTTTAATGTCAATTATTTTATTGCATATGATTAAAACACTATAAATCTTACATATTAAATAAGTTTAGTTCTGGCTTTAAGTTTACTTATTGGTATATTTTATAGTTATTTAATGAAATAAAATGTTTTATATACAATGCTAATTATTTTGCAAAATTTTAATTGGCTAATTTTTATAAACCATATGCCAATAACCTGATTATATAAGTTACTATAATCACTTTTGACCATATACAAATACTACAATATATTATACAATTTAAATTTTAAATTATTTTATAAAAAATTTTATACATATAATAATTTAAAAATAATAATTATATATTTATTTCATATTTTTTTTTTTTTATAAAAAAGTTAATTATTCAAATAATATATAAAATTTATAAAATCTAAATTAGTAAAATTAAAATATTTATTATTTTATAAAAAAATAATAATAATATTTAAAATTTATAATGCTTATTAAAATTTATTTATATAAATTTTTTTTTTACAAAAATTAAAATATAGTTTTATTTAATTGCTAATAAGTTTTAATAAAAATAGTTTAAACTATTTTTAAATAGTTTAATATATTTTAATTAAATTATTTATTTATAATAAATATAATAAATAATTTTATCTAAACTTTAAATAGATTTTTTAAAATATAATTCAAGTTCTTAATTTAAAAATAGGTTGAAAAATTACTACATTTTAAATTAAGCAATTTTATTTATATATAGGTGTATTGTATATAGGTTATATAATACTAGTGATAAAAAATAATAAATATTTTAATTTTACTAATTAGATTTTATAAATTTTATATATTATTTGAATAATTAACTTTTTTATATATTTTAATTTAAATATTTATATAATTATTTATATAAAAAAAATATGAAATAAATATATAATTATTATTTTTATAAATTTGTTAAATTATTTTATAATTAATTAATATTTAAATTTATTAAATTTTAAAAAATATTTTAATATTTTTATTTTTTTATATATTATAATTTATTTAATTTATATAAATTTATATAAATTTATTTTTATAAAAAATATAATAAATTATATTTATTATTTTGTTAAATAGAATTATATTATATTTAATGTATTAAATTAATTTAGATTAAATTATAATTATATAAATATAACTAGTATTGGTAAAATTTTTGATGTAATACATTAATTATTATTTAAATAATATTATTTTTTTAAATAGTAAGTATAAAATTGATTATAAAATATTGTAATAAAATTATAAAATTTTAATATTTAATGATTATAAAATGATGAATAAAGTTTATTAAATTTATCATATTAGGATGTATCTAATTATACTTTGATGTTAATTAATTTTGATGATATTAAAATAAATTATATCAATTCATCAATTATTAATAAATTAATTATGTCTATCATTTACATTAAAGTATATATTTAATAATAATATTTTTAAATTTTTAAAATTAGTAATTATTAATATATATCAATTTTTCAATTTTTTAATTTTTAATATATTTATTATTTAATAATTAAAAAAAATAAAATTTAGTTTGATTAATTTATTTTATTAAAATTTATTAAATGATTATATTTTTATATTTCTAAAATCTATAAATAACAAGAGATAAGGTTGTCAGGCAAAACACGGAGGTTTCGACAGGCATCGAAATTGAAACCCATTGAAACGTTTTGCCAAAATTTTTTCTTAAAGGCAAAACTGCGAAAGTTTCAACGGGTGG